AAAGCACTTACCAGTCCGAAGCCTGCCGGTGCTCCGCTGCCTTCGCCACAGCCGGGGGAGAGCGGACAAGCGCCCGGCCATCTCTACCTTCCGGTGTTCCACTGCCTCCGCCGTGGCCAAGGGCGAACGGACAAGCATCCGGCCAGCTCTAGCCTCCCGGAGCTGGGTGAGCGCTGCCTCCAATTGTGCTGGCAGGGGACACAGGGGAGGTCTCCGATGGCAGTGGGGAAGCTCCCAGGGCTTCTCCACTGCCATTGGAGACCTCCTGGGGGGGCCACCTCCGCGATTGGAGCCTTCAGGTTTTCCTGGGGAGTAGACCGGGCCTACCAGGGGAGGGCTTCCCCGGTAGGCCTGGTCTACCAGGCTTTCCCAGGGAGTAGACCGGGCCTACCGGGGGAAGGCCTCAGGAGGGCTTCCCCTGATAGGCCTGGTCTATTCCCTGGGAAAGCCTGAAGGCACTGATCATGGTGGCGGGGGATCCCCGGAGGTCTCCGATGGCGGCAGAGAAGCCCTGGGAGCTTCCCCGTTGCCATCAGAGACCTCCCTGGTGGTCCCCACCACTGCGATCGGTGCCTTTGGAGGTCTCAAAGGGCTTTCCCCTGACATCGGAGGAAGCCGTTTGAGAGCTCTGAAGGCAAAAAGGCAGGGAATAACGGGGGGGAAATTCGGATCTCCAGCCCTTTTGCCCTGCCTTTTTACCTTTGGAGCTCTCAAACTGCTTCTTCTGATGTTTGGGGGGGGAGCCCTTTGAGACCTCCAAAGGCGCCGATTATGGCAGCGGGGACCCCCAGGAAGGTCTCCCAGGGCTTGCCCGCCACCATGAGAGCTCTGAAGGCAAAAAGGCAGGGAATAACGGGGGGGAAATTCGGATCTCCAGCCCTTTTGCCCTGCCTTTTTACCTTTGGAGCTCTCAAACTGCTTCTTCTGATGTTTGGGGGGGGAGCCCTTTGAGACCTCCAAAGGCGCCGATTATGGCAGCGGGGACCCCCAGGAAGGTCTCCCAGGGCTTGCCCGCCACCATGGGATACCTCCCTGGGGGTCCCTGCCATCGCAGTCGGTGCCTTCAGAGCTCTGATAGAGCTTCCTCCGATGTTGGGGGGGGAAGCCGTTTGAGACCTCTGAAGCCAGAAAGGGCGGGAATTCGAATTTCCAGCCCTTTCGCCCTGCCTTTTTGGCTTCAGAAGCCCTTTGAGAGCTCCGAAGGTGCCGATCGCTCCGTTGGCATCGACTTGCGAACGGAGCCTCGTTCATAGGTCAAGGCTCCATTCACAAGTCGATGCCAATTTTTTCCAACGGAGCGGTTCATAAGTTGAAATGTTCATAACTAGGGCTGTTCGTAAATCGAGGGTTGACTGTATTTATGAAAAGTTTCAGATGACATTTTCCTGCTGAATTTTCCTGCTTCATCACACTGAATACTGAAAGCATAGATTACACATATTTTCCTTCCTTATTTCTCTTGCCTGATATCTATAGAGCAATAAAGGGCTACAATTTCTCTTTCCTAGGAACTGTTCTTAATGAACATTGTGAAAGCTTCATATGTTATCTGTCTCATAGTGAGAGCTGGGGGTTATCTGTAATGAAAGACCTTACAGGCACATCAGTAAATAAGAAATTCTTGAATATACAGTACATTATTACTCACTAGGCTAGAGGAATATACAGATTGACACAGGCTTTCAGTAACCCATGTTGTTTTTCTTTATATTTTAGATCTGTAGTGTATTTTGTATCCTGATTGGGATGAACAGCTGTTGGCATTTCAATATCTTGCTGATGCCATCTTCCCATCCCTTTTATAGCTTTATTAAAACCATTGTCAAAATTAGTTCAAACAATCATTCTCAGTTCTATAGTCATGGGTGGTGTTGTATTGGTGCTGCTATGAATTTAACCTATAGATATTGCTATATACTTTTTTGTGTGAAGTTGCTCTTTAAAGTTCACTCTTTAACCAACAGTTGGAGAAAACACAAGTAGAGGAAAAACCAAACAATATGAAGTCTTGATTTAAAATACTGAATTAATACTTCTGCAGATCTATAAACCTGTTGTTTGATAGACTTAATGCAGATGAGTATTTTAGTTACCTTTCATGCATATTCAATTTTTTCTGCTTAGCCACTTCATAGTTTGTCATGGCATCTAATTTTCAGCTAATTGTTAGGCATGACCAGTTAATCATTACTGTGAACCAGAATTGCCTTCAAATTATGGTTTTGTAAACTTACTTCAACTCATGGCCTTAAACCACACTGGTAATCTCCAACGGCATGATCATGTTCTCCAAACAAAGAGAACATGCAAGATCGGAAAGTAACCCTGGACTAAACTGTAGTGCTAACTTTTAAACCACTGTTTTCCATGGATTGATGACTGTTTTAACAACAATAAAATAAATAAATTGCTCATCAGAAACAACCCTCCTGGTGCAATGAAACCCAGGTGAAACCTTCAGACACTACCAAGACCCCACCACATTCCAGTATTTTGAAAGAGTTAATTTGATAAGAGAGAGAGAGGGTTTTGGCTCTATCGTCTGCCTGTCGCAATCTGCATATGAAGAACAGTCTTCAGGAGGAAATACTCTGTCACACATTGAACATTACTGAGAACCCTGATATTTCAGCATCCACAGTTGCACAGAGCTCTTCAGGCAGAGAAAGTGCAAGAGGTGGGATGGGACTAGAATTATCCCTGCTTGTGCTTTCAATTAATCCTGCATGTGTAGGTGCACGATTCTTGGCCCTGCTGCATACTGCCATGTGTGTTTCATCATGTGGCATAAGTAATTGAAACAGGATTCTGGAATATGTTGTCAAAAGCTGTGCTGTCTGATTTGTCAGAGACATGTTAGCTTGATGGATGTGTGTATCATTTCATTGTCAAACCAGGAATCACTCCACACAAAATATGCAAAGAACTGCGTTTGAACCTGTTTGCTTCCTAATGAATCGAAATGTGCAAGACAAATTGTCCAGATTTCTCCTTTTAAGAGCCAACAAGATTAAATTGTCTTAAATAATCAAATAAATAACTGGGCATTCATTAACATTTCCCTCAGCTGCTTAAGAGAAAGGACCATATATGTTAATAAATGTATAATCCATTAGTGAATGTTTTTAACATATTTTGCATAAATATAGCCTCTCCATTGACAAATGCTTTAATGCATTCTTTGCTGAATCTCAGGGACAGAAGCATGGCCCCCAGGTGTTTGTCTTAAGTATGTTGGGGGAGACCAGTTCGGTCATGTGAATATGGTGATGGTCCGGTCACTGGAGCCTCAGGAGATTGCAGATGTCAGTGTGCAGATGTGCAGCCCTAGTACTGCTGGAATGTATCAAGGACAATGGCGAATGTGCACTGCCACAGGACTCTACTATGGAGGTAAATATTAGCTTCTTGTTCACTTACAGTGTTTAAGCAACCTTCAGTGCTTCTAGGACTATGTTAGTTCATGTTAAAATTATAACCGTACTTCATAAAAGTATTATAGACCAGGAGTTCAAATAAATATTTTTATACATACTTTTTTGCATCTTGCAAAAAGGCAGTTCCTTGTATGTATTTTTCACTGCAGCTATGAATGAATTAAACTGGCAACTGACACTTAAAAAGAAGCTTGTTTGCAGTGCTCATAGCGCAGCCTTTTTCTGCACTAGGCAAGTGTAAGACAAAGGATCTTGCTGAGCAATTTCTAAAGATTATATTCTTTACTTAGGCTGCTGTTTCCACTTCATGGGAAGCAATTCACAATGTGATTCTTTCCTTTCTCTTGGCAAATGCAGTTCCATGAGAAAGAAATTGTGTGATTTGATTGTAAAAGCAATGTTTCATCTCTAGAGAATGCTTTTCTTTTGGATAAGACTTTGCATAACCCCATTAAGTTATATTTCTCTACCACCAATATTTTTTTAAATTAAAAAAAAATCTATATAATCCCAGTTGAGGCATATGCTATTAGACACAGACACAGCCATTTCATGTACTTGAGAATGACACTTCAACATAAAATATTTGTTCAGGACTGGATAAATCGTTATAACAGTTATTACAACAGTTGTTTTAGGGTTCTATTTATACTATTCTTTGATGCTGGGTCCTGAGGTCACTTTGAGCACATATTAGTGTTCACTCTCTCTTTGAAAATATGGGCATTTTAATGCTTTATTTGAAAGACACATAGGATATCTGGATTGCAATTTTAGCCAGCCTTTTTAGATCACACACACAAAGATAGAATGAAACAATCCTTTTGTACAGAAGTATTACAGAATACATTTGTATTCAGGTATCTTTAGAAGTGAAATGTTATTCTGTTGTTTTCTGTTGGTAGGTTGCAACTCTCATCATATTAACATTTACCCATTAGAAATACAGATTTTCCTACAATCTTTCTCCACTGTTCTGTTGAACATTGCATTGTTTTTCCTGATTCTTATGTAGTTGGTGGACTAACACCACCAATACATGTACAAACTCAGTTCTCCTGGTGTTGATCTTTATGTTGGCAAAATATTGCCACACACATCCAAAGATAAAATACACAGTGGCCATAGAACATTATCTTACTGCCAAGGTGCAAAAATGAGAAGACCAAATGAGGCAAAGAGTAGAGCAGGGTATCAAGAGCATCAATTACGAGCAGGCTACATAACAATACTTAGTCTCACATTCTGCTTTTAGGATTTGATTGCCCATTTTTCAGTTCATTTTTGTCAGTTGGCTGGCACATTCAGCAACATTCACACCAAATCATACTGTTCTCCCCCGCCGCGTTCCCCCCCCCCAAGCTGGAGCATGAGATCAATATTTTAATAGGTGCTCACTTTGTCTATCTGGAGGCTCTTGGTATAGCCCGTAGCATACCAGAGATGGGCTTAGATCTGAATACTATGATTAACAGCAGATGGCAGTATTTACTAGCTTCAAAGTTTCAAACTACTAAATTGTTTAGTACATTTTGGCACTTTGTTTCAGTGCCTTTCAATACCAATCTGAAAATGAAATCAAATTGATATGAAATGGAATTGTAGTTTGGTGGTGTTGGTGCTTGCACATACTTGTTTATAAGCAGCATGCTGACTTCTGGGAAGTACTAAAATTATACCTTCTGCTAACACAAGTTTCTCTTTCATAGACATCATCTGGGTGATTCTCAGTGTGGAAGTTGGAGGACTTTTAGGAGTAACACAACAGCTGTCATCATTTGAAACAGAGTTCAACACACAACCACATCGCAAGGTAGAAGGAAATTTTAACCCGTTCGCCTCTCCACAGAAGAACAGGCAACCAGATGAAAACAACTTAAAAGACCCTGGGGGTTCCGAGCTAGACACAATCAGCAAAAACACGTGGGGTTCTGCTCCTGACCAAATTGAACAAGATCAGACTGAACTGTCACAAAACTCTGTAAATCTCTCCCCCAGCAGTCACTCGAACAACTTATCAGTAGTGACATACAGTAAGGTAGGTGTTTTGGGGATACAGGAGAACCAGATGATCATGAGTCCATGGTCTTTACTGTAGCATTCTCTACAGTTTTGAGTACTCCTTCCCCACTCCTCTTTACAATGTCTTTGTCTGATTTATTTTAAATGGCTTATAGTTCACTGTTCAATTTTTCGGATCCTCTCATTTACTTAAAAGCAAGTGAGAACATAATTATCAAGTGTTTTAAAGGTTTTGTTAAATTAATATTCTCTGCTTGCTGTATGTCAGGGTTCAAAAGGTAACAGGTTACAAAGTTACATTTTAGGATGCACTTAAAATTGAAGTATATTAGGTGGTAAGAAATCTAAAGATTATTTAGCTGGACTTGGAAGCTAAAATATATGGGTAGAAGGTGCTCACCAGAATGCTCTCTCCTAGTATTACTTTAAATTGGTCTTTGTTGTTTTTTTGTCCAAATGTTATTTAAAACTTTCACTGCCTTATACCCAAAAATGAAGGACAACATGTGGAATTCTCCCATCACAATTTAAAGTGATACAGACTGTTATTCTGGACAATAGGATAATTGTCATTTGGTGTACATTTGAAAACAAGATGAATAAAATGTATTGGGCAGTTCATATGGAAGGAAGGCAAGTGAAGCAGGTAGTGTACTAGCGGATTGCAGTCATATTCAGATTGTTGTTTAAATGAAAATTAGTCATGACAGACACATTTCTAAATAGCAATCATGACTGTGGTTTGGAATGGTAAGTCATAGAACCAACAAGAGAGACAGCAGTGTCCACGTTCATGTTTTGTAAGTACTCCCAAAATGCTGTACTCACCATTTGTTGTTATTTAGTGGTTAACATATCAAACTCAATGGAAAATAGCTTTGACATTCCAAGATACGTAGTTGTATTTAATTTCACATGGGAAAATTGCTGGATTAGTTATGAAAGTTTGAATGCTATCAGAAGATCAAACCTCTTCATGTGGCTTGGGTATTGAGGAAGTAAGTTTGGTGAAAATCACTATCATAGATGTGTACTGCCCATCATGTAACTCTTGTGATAGAATGCTCATCTATAACAGATCAATTAAAACCTAATAGGTCACAAGATTTTGATAGTATTCACTGAGGAATGTTTAGATAACGCAAATGTTAAATAATTGAAATGAAATAATCAGCTCTTCCTCAAAATCTGCACTTAAAATTGAAGTATATTAGGTGGTAAGAAATCTAACGATTATTTAGCTAGTAAAATATTAAAAATAGTAGTAATAGTCCAGGATAAATTAGTATTAGAATACAGTAATTAAAATAGAGTGTCTGAGGGAAAATGTATATGACTTAGCCAAAGTAAGTAGTGTTTCTGTAACTTGTAGAATTTTTTTGAGACTACAGAGGTAAGACTGATTAAGTGAAGTTACATAAAGCTTTGGGTAAATGTTCTTAACAAAATCATCTAAAGAAACTTGGACACCTTTGTGACGTCCACCCTCATGCTTTTCTCTCCTGCCTGATTCTCTTACATTTTTCTTACTGACTCAGTCTCACTTAATCTCTCCCTCTGACTCTCTGACCCCGCCTCTTATAGCCTCTCTCTTGATTCCACCTCTCAGCAACATGAATATTCATAAACCACTACATAATACAACAAGAACCATAGATCTAATAAAAGGAGAATGCTACAACCTTTTTATAGAGAAAGATGCAAATAAGGATTGAATTTTAGTCAAAAAAATTGAAAATTAGGTGGATAGTTAAGACTGAAATCCACACTTTTTGCAATAGACAAGCAAGCACCAGTATCTCCCTAGTATTCATACTGAGATTGGTGCTGCTTTATTTGTTCATAAATAAAGAACTGGATGATGAGGGGTTGTTGAAGATGATGTAATCTCAAACAGCAGGAAGATTTCCAGAAACAGAATGTTCAAGAGAATAGCAACTGCGAATATTATGTGAGCACTTAATGATGTAAATTGCTAATTTAGAATTCTGGAAGATAAACTGGCAGAACTTAATATGCCAACATCATAGATGTACTGGTAGGATCTAAATTGCTTGTATTTATTTAGAGAGTTTAGTTATACTAAAAAACTCAGTTAAGACATTGGATTGGTGTGCTACAGTTGTCAACAGAGCCAATCCAGTGTTAACAGTTGAAATGAGGCTGAAAATAAAACAGCATAATGAGTAACGTAAATGCATTGTGTACCTCCGTTTAAAATGGGAGGAAAGTATCATGTGACTCATGGACTACATATACGTCCAAGCTGATTTTTGTAGCCCCTAAATAATCCTTTTTAAAAAATGCTTAAAGTCTTTGGTATGAAAAATTGATTGTTACTTCCCAGCCAGTCACTGCTTCTCTGTTCCTCTTTGGTTTATTTCATAATAAATATCTTATTTATCTTAAATAAATAAATAAATATCTTAAATATCTTATAAATATCTTTTCATAATAATATCTTATTTAGTGATTAAACATATTTCCTTCTTCATGTTCTCTCTGAGTCACACACATGGATTTTGTGCCTATACAGAACGCACACGGAACCCCCCAGACCAAAGTAGTCTAAAGAGAAAAAATCCTTTCTTTTATCACAGCACATAAGCTCCAAATGTCACTAATGGTTCCCTCAGCCCTTTTCTATCTGCTGCTGAAGCAGTACATGTGAGATCACTCCAGAGATTTATTTTATATTCTTTTTGTTAAAAAAAAAATTAAGTAGCTAACCTTATGCTTCTCTGCCATGGAAAAGAGGTTAGTATTCCCTCAGGCATATGACCTTTTATTGGCCTGTTTAAAAAGTGTACAGTATGTTGAGGCCAACAAATTAGTCACTTCATCTCTGAAGGTTACAATTGGCCATCTTCTGGTTCTACGTATGGGGATTGCTGGTTATGCAGACAGCTCTTCTGATACTGAAGCCATCCTCAGATCTGAAGGCTCTCATAGAGCCAAGACTATCTTCAGATCTTACAGCTGTTCCTAACCGTTGGTAACTTCCTGCAGAGAAGGGCTGCAGAAACCTCTGATTATTCCAACCTCTTGGAATTGGAGGGTAATTGGACATCTTTGCCTTTGCTACTGTTCCTTTTGGTTTCCTTGCCAGATTCCATGGTGGGAGATAGAGCTCCACTTCAGGAATATCTGAAGATTCTAGGTCAAGGACCTTTCCTTCATTGACAAATGGTCATTCATTAGCACAGAGGTCCCCAACACCTAGTCCATGGCCCGGTGCTAGTCCATGGCCTGAGCCGGACGGCGCTACAGAGACAGACCTCCCACCCCGACCCCCGCAGACACTCCTCCCCACAGACTGTTTGTGCCTGCGCCCACATGAGCACTCCCCCATCCCTTTGCGCATGCACACAAGTGACCCCTGAGCAACGCACCGCCCTTTGCACATGCGCATGAGCACGGGGGGGCGCCTTCCCCAGCCAGTCCGCGGGGCTAAAAAGGTTGGGGACTGCTGCATTAGCAGGACTGATAAGATAATAGAAGACCTAGCAAAGACATTTCTGTAGCCAAGCACATGGAATCTTCACACACACAATTCCGTTAGAGACAAACAGTATAAAACACCATGAAAATGTTCCTATTCTTATTCCAGGAACTGATCAGCTACAAATAAGGAGAGGTTTTTTTTCTTATGCTGTGAAAGGTTCCATATAGTCTTCTGTGCAGGGACAAAATCCATGTGTGTGAATTCATAACCACTTGAAGAACTACAGTTACAGAGAAGTAACCACTCATAGCTCTTTTTTGTATAAAATGCAGAGTTGATTCCAGAGTTAATTTCTATCATTGGCTGAACTCCTTTCAGGGGAGTTCATTAGAGGATATCAGGGCCAAAAGGAGAGGGTGAAGCATTTTCTACTTATTCTCTTTCCTAGGTGCCACCTCCCACTCTGTTGAATCCCACAATCCTTGATAATGCATATTGGGACATTATTAAGGAGGCTACAGGAGAGAAAGGAAGACAAGTCAAATTAATTTCCTATTCCAACAAATGTTCCACTGGATCTTTCAATATACAGAAAGAGTTAATTTGTTCAGGGAGGCAAGATCTGTATCTAATACATTTTTATAGAGTCACCCATTTCAAAAACTGTCTGGAAAAAAGAGTTACAGTCAAAATAATTACCACATTCAAGCACATTCCATATTGGGGCCTATTGCATTAAGAACAAGGTATCAGTATTGTAAGGGACGTAGTGGCGCTGCGGGTTAAACCGGAGACACCTCTGCGCTGCAAGGTCAGAAGACCTGCAGTCGTAAGATTGAATCCACGTGACGGAGTGAGTTCCCGTCGCTTGTCCCAGCTCCTGCCAACCTAGGGGTTCGAAAGCATGCAAAATGTGAGTAGATAAATAGGTACCAACACAGTGGGAAGGTGACAGCATTCTGTGTCTAGTCGCGCTGGCCACGTGACCACGGAAGATTGTTAAGATTGTTCTATGGATTGGAAACTGAGATGATCACTGCCCCCTAGAGTCAGACACGACTGGACAAATTGTCAAGTGGAACCTTTACCTTTACTATCAGTATTGTAAGATATTAAAATTTACATGACTGTACCCAGTGTGGGATGTGGTGGCGCCGCAGGTTAAACCGCAAAGCCTCTGGGCTGCAAGGTCAAAAGATCAGCAGTTCAAATCCACATAATGGAGTGAGCTCCCGTCGCTTGTCCCATCTCCTCCCAACCTAGCCGTTCGAAAACATGTACAATGCAAGTAGACAAATAGGTACGACCACAGTGGGAAGGTAATGGTTTTCCGTGTCTAGTCACATTGGCCATATGACCACGGAAACTGTCTATGGACAAATGCTGACTCTATGGCTTGGAAACGGAGATGAGCACCACCCCCTAGAGTCGGACACAACTGGGCAGTTGTCAAGGGGAACCTTTACCTTTTTTACCCAGTGAAACATGCTTTATGCATGAGACACTTTCAAAAACTCCTACTGCAGAACAGTATAAACAGTAGCTTTTGTATAGAATTTAAAAGGGATGAT